ATTGGAAATTAGTTGAAACAATAAAAGTTTAATTAACAACAATTTAGTATTAATTAATAAGTGACACTAATGACAGAACTAGAGCTTTCAAAAAAGTAGAGCGGCACAAATAAAGTTACATGCAAAAAAATTCCAAAGCTGGCTAGATGAAAATCATTTATAACCACTCTGTAGTATTAACACAGGTAGTGCAAACCATGGTATTAATTTGATGAAAATGTACTTGATCATTGCAACAATTCATAAACGCCGTAAGTGGCACGGATCAAGGGGGTTTTGTCCCTAAAAGATATAAACGTAAAAAGGGTACAGTTTGTCTTCGTTTATCCTTGGGAAGCTCTGATAAAATTTTGTCAGTCTATTTAAGAATCATCCTGTATGTATTTTTGACTCATATCGGCACGTGCTAATTATTACCGATATCGACCGATAACGACTTATCTTAAAAGGGTAAAAATCCGTTTGTGGAATATTATTTATTACATTGTACATACAATTAGATAAAATCATCAAATCAGATAAAACAAGTCAAAATTACAACATAAAATGTCAACAAATATGTTCCGTTTTTCAAAGAAGGAAGTGTTCAAGGAGATAATGATTAATACGTTTAAATTTTTATTGGACGCTTTGTCCACACGATTGAAATAATTTTGAAATTTTGACGAAGGTTTTTTGTTTAATATTGTAATAAAGTTACATTGACAATAAGAAATATACAAAAAATATACCGTTTTTGAAATATTTCGGGTTTTTCAAAAATTTTTGGATCTGCACCTTCCACTTTAAAAATCGGTAACTCTGCTATTTTTTAAAATTTTGAATTCGTTTTTTTGGCGTTTGAAAGAGAAAGTTTAGATCTTTCTTTCGTTGTTTTCAAATTTTGAAAAAAAAATTAACAAACTATAAAATTTTAAGGTTACTTTTGTAATAATTTAAATACCCATAACTCAATTTTTTCAAATGAAATACTCCAATTTTTATTTTACTAAATGGAGGAGAATTTAATTCTGCATCGATCTGTATTAACATTCCCTATACCTAAATTTAATAATTTTTAAGTTATGGTGACTTTTTGTTGAGACTAATAAGTCACTGTCGACGTTTACTGAGAAACAATTTTGACATTTTTGATTTCCATAGCAAACTATGTGAAAACGGGTATGGCTAGTAATAAATTTTCTGTAGTATTAAAAAAAGTCCATAACTTGAAAATTATTAAATTTAGGTATAGGGAATGTTAATACAGATCAATGCATAATTAAATTCTCTTCTATTTAGTAAAATAAAAATTGGGGTATTTCATTTGAAAAAATTGAGTTATGAGTATTTAGATTATTACAAAAGTAACCTTAAAACTTTGGGATATGTTTTTTTTTTTTTCAAAATTTGAAAACACCAGAAAAAGGATATAAGCTTTCTCTTTCAAACGCCAGAAAAAATGAATTTAAAATCTTAAAAAATGACAGAGTTACCGGTTTTTAAAGTGGAAGGTGCAAATCCAAAAATTTTTGAAAAACTCCAAATATTTCAAAAAGGACTAAATTTAGGTATAGGGAAAGCTGATGAAAACTCCCTTAAAATAACCCGATTAATCCAAAAACGCAGTAAAAATATACCTTTCCATTTAAAATAAGAAAGTTAAGACCGACTTCCGGTATAACCGGAAGTGCCGCCATCTTGAAAATATTTTCATTTAGGAGGACTTATTGGTTTATGGCTATGTACCAATTTTTAAATAAATACAATTATTCCAACTCCCAATACTTCTAAAGTGGGGTTTAGACGGAACAGCCTGTATAAATGCAGTAAAATCTGGCTAATTCGAACTTGATGGAATCGGACCCTGAATGTCAGGATTAAACGAAATGAGCTTACTTGAATGTCTGTAAATCGGGTTTTGGATGGGTAAAACTATTAATAGTAATATTAGGTATGTTAGTAAACCCTGTTCATAAATTAAAGAAACACAACCTGTTGCATTATGTTGGTGAAAAAAATAAATCCCCTATGCAAGATTTTCACACTGTTAGGTTGGTTGCAAATTTGCGTCAGATTTGAAGTTTTTGACTTTCATGTCAAATTTCATCAAAATTCAGTTTTGAATATTTATTTATTCCGCACTAAAATGCCTCGAAAGCAAAGAAATTTGCTCAACGCAAAAATGAAGGAAGCCGTTGTGAAATGCAGCGATGAATTGAAACGGTTAGCGCCAGATTTATCTGACCGCCAAATTAACGAAAAGCTTCAAAATATTTTTTCGGTAACATCGGCGTAAAAAGCCAAAAGCGGGATATTCTTGAGGTATGTTTTATTGTCAGACTATAATTAATTAATTAGATAATTAATTTCTCGCAAAAATTATACATAGAAAATGGATAAATTCGATTTATAACTCTCGCGAAGTCTCAATATCTACAAAACTACCTACAAGATTACCCCAACCTAGATTTTCTATTGACTTTTTTTTTTTGAACCTGCAGCTGAACATTCCTCCAATAATAATTGATCTGGCTGATTCTGATTCTTCATCAACTTGGTCAAGTTCAGATCATGATGAATCCAATAAAGAGAATTTCTTTTAGTTTTGCATTGTTCCACATTCAAGTTTTAAAAAAATCGGTTCTTCTCAGAACCATCAACTTATCACAAATAAAATAACGCTATCATCATAACAACAATGCAAATGGGACATTGAAACTTTTGCTGAAACCGTCGGGGTGAGAAGAAGTTGCTTCTGTGTCTGCCGGTGGTCCTTTTGAACCAATTTTCAATTCTCCGTGCTACAAATTTAAAACCTGAAAAACCAAAAACCGCAACGACGTATGTCGCCCAATACCATCTAAGATATTAAATCCATATAAGACTTCTCTGAGTTCCGTTGGTCAACAAACTTTGTAAAAAAGAAAACATAACCTTATTTTTTTGACACATACGTTCCCACTAGAAAATATAACTAGACAACGTTGCCGGTTGAATTTTTGAGCCTTATTGCCGGTTGGGTGTTTCTTTAATTTATGAACAGAGAATAGGAGTAAAAGTGATTGTTTATGTGGCGAAGCTAAACGATTATTTTGCCGAACTGAGTGAGGCAAATGATTCAGCTGAACCACATAACTCACTTTTCTTAGTAACGCTAACCCGGCAAATTCAAGTTTCGATTTTTCGAGGGCCGTTTTCGCCCAAATAGAATTAATTGGAGAATCGATAAAAAATGTCGATAAGATAGCACTCCAAGCTCCCTCAATCAGATTTTGATTTCTGTTATTCCTACAGTCGGAAAAAAATTAAAACTAATTTCTCATGTAAATTTCCTATTTCGTAGCGTGCCTGGGACACCCGGTATTGTACTGATCATTTTTAATTTTTTTGTGCAAAAATTAATAAAATACTGATCATTTATCAATCATTCTATACTGATCAAAATTGAATTATTTACTTTATTATTATTAATTATTTACTTTATTACTACCCATAAGTAACCTAATACGAATAAATAAAACGACAATCAATTGTGCGCTTACTTTCCGGAAAATAGGTTGTATGCTGGCATTTGACTGTTATTTACAATAGCCTTAGTTTTTTCTTTTTTGAGCTTGATTTGCTTCATCCGGATTAGCAAGACCCTTCTGTATTAATATAGAAGCGAATGTAATTTTCGCTTTTACCCTATCTCTTATCGACATAACGTTGATAACCGAACGATGGTTTTTCTCAGTTCAATATTTTTTATCGGGTGTGAAGTGTTAAACTGAGATTTTTTTATAAAAAAACCAAAATGGACTTTCTGCTCAGAAACACGTTCAGTAAAAGGTATTTTTACAATGCAATGAAGAATGTTAAGGTAATTTTAAATTTCAAGTCATTTTTCCCATCTAAAAATTGTTCCATCTACCACCTCGCACCTGGCACTAATTTCCCCTAATTCCACTAATTTAAGTGACCGAAAATCGATATGTTTTGACTGAAAAAATGTTTTAAAGTCCCAGGATTAAAGGGAAATATAACACTACACGACCCTGTAAATTTTTGCGTTGCTGCTGCAACCAGTAATACCTACATATCTGGGATTGCCTCATCCCCCATGCGTGTTTCGAGATAATTCTCCCGACCTACTTTCCCCTCGCTGTTTGAAACGTTAGTGTAGCAGTGTTTATGGGAATTCTGGATATTTTAGCATCCGACCTCGCCTCGTTTATTAGTTATAGACCCATTGTCAATAAAATTGTCATTGCGAGTCTCATTATTAATTTAAGTAAATATTTCCGATGAATGGTCCATGTCGAGCGTTGCTCAGTTGATCGATATAACATTTTCTCCCGCCTCTTTCAACGTTTGGCGTCAGTCGGGGGGAGAATTGCTAGCTGTAGGTTAGAGCAGCACAAACCACGGGACGAGACAAAAGTGCCTTCTGCGAAAACAGACACCAAGCTAAAACCCCAAACGTCCCTGACATTGTTTAACATGGTTGTGAGGTAGAAAATGTGAGATAATCACAATGGGAGTAACGCACAAACATCAATCTGCTTTAATTGTGAGTACTTTGATTTATTTAAGATCGGCCAAACTTGTTTCCTCATTTGCGTTCAAGGTAAATCTATATTTAATTCGAGTACGTGCACCAAATTCCATCGCGGTGCCATAGTCGGGACTTCACCCGGAACTCTAGGGTAAACTACCCAATTTTCCACCCGAAGTACTGACGTCACATTCACCCCCCCCCCATGTTTTTTCCTTTTTTACACTAGTTTGCGACGTTCGTGCTTGCTGTCCATTCACCCTTAACATTCGTGACGGCATAACTCCAAGGATAGTTGCAATCGAAATTTGCAAGGGTGGAGTGCATAAATCCCCACACTCCGGTAATTAGATGATTTTTTTGTGGGGGGGGGGGGGCTAATTGGTGGAATTTTATAATTTTTCCAGTTTATTATAGTAGCAAAAGCTAATATTTATTGTTTTAACAAGTTACTCAGTAATTTACTTAACCATAATCATTGTTTATCAGTAGTTTAATTCCTGAAATTTGAAACATTTAAGCAGTTGATAAAAAATTGGTTGGAGTGTGCAACACATGGCTATTGTTTGAAGGCCTAATGATAAAAAAATTGCAGAATTTATTACCGATTTTTACAGTCTTGCAATAATAAAGGTCACGACCGAACTATTATGGTGCTAAAATGTATTATACAGCTTGGAAACACGGGAACATTTACCACAGAAATTGATATGAATGTCTCCAGGGGCAAAAAATTTTCCAATTTTGAGTAATTTAAAGGAACTCGTAATTAGTGGCCCAGGCCAGCTTTAAGTATTTTCAAAATTTAATAATGACGTAGTCATGAATGTCAAACAGAATTCACAAACTTTGACAATGTCACAAAATAATTTGGTAGTGAGGTTGTAATTAAGACTTCATCCGCTCGCAGTCATTGATCTACTCGAGTAAATCGCGTTACTTGAACCGTTTAAGTGGCAAACTTTGCGTCTACGATGACCTACTCTAATATCGGCTAAGCCTGACGTAATTTCTTCGACGATACCTATTTTTAGACCGTAATTGCCTTAATTTACCTTAAACAAGAAACGACAAATTCAATGTATTACGTCGACATTGTTTAATTTGGAATCGAACTTATAATTTAGCAGTTATCAGTTGACTTTTCTTGTTATGAAAATCGTGAATGTCCATTACAACCAATTCACAATTTGCGTAATTTTAATTAAACCAAATGGCCTCACTTATTGATGATTACTTTAGAAATTGCCAATGCGTAAATGCTTTATTCAGAGTAGGATTATATTTGGGTTTGTGTATTTTTCTAATGTGATTTTTTTTCAGGAATGGCCAACGAAAAAAAATGTTGGGACTCGGAAATGTCTACTTTTGTGTATGGTTCTAACTTTAATAATTGTCTTTTTTTATTACACCCAATTTAACATTCATACCTTTGATGAAGAATTTGTACTAAATTGTATACATTCTCTTTTGTAGAGAGACACAATTTACCAATTTGTATTTCCAGATTCCCGAACTAAACTATGGGGAGGGGAAAAATACTTAATACATACCTCAAAATGTCGAATTCGGAACGATGATCCTTTTAATGAAGAAGTGAGGAAATATTATCATCGTGAAAACTACCTTCCCTGTTCCCGTAAAGAACTGTTGTCTTATGTTGAAAAAACAGATTCTTTTACTACTTTGCATATAAATCAGAGTTTATTAGGAACGTATAGTTTTCTCAAGATTTCGTGTTGTTATTCTTCTATTAACCGAGTACTCGAAAAAAATAAGTCTGATGACGGAATTAGGTATATATAAACATACATATTCTAGTTTCATTGTGTTAAAAATAATTTTTGTCTAGATTTTCAGAGTGTGTTTCGTTCGAAGACAGCGTCAACGTAACCGATACTGTGGTTCTAGTCCAATGCAAAAACTCACTAAATATTGAAGTCTACAAAAACGTCCATGCTATTATTACTCCTCGAGATCTCCCCCCTCAAAAAAAGCAACTTCCACCTTCGAACTTCACAAGTGTTGTCTTCGTTGGAATCGACAGCATGTCCAAACTGAATCTAGTCCGTACGATGCCAAAAACGCATAGTTTCTTAGAAGGACACGATTTTTTAAGTCTGAGAGGATACACCAAAATCGACGACAATACATTTCCTAATTTGATGGCGATTTTGACGGGGAAAAGGTGGCGTGAAGTTTACAAACACTGTGAACCCGATAAGAATACGATGAATAACTGTGATATAATATGGGATAAATTTAGTGACTTAGGCTTTATAACTGCTTATGCTGAAGATGAGACGTTCATTGGAACGTTTAATTATAATAATAGGTTAGGGTTTGCGGCTCCTCCGACGGATTTTTATTTCCGACACTACATGATAGTCGCTGAAAAATTACCTTCGATTCATAGATTCGGGATGCATACATGTGCCGGACCGGAAACTTCCGGTGAAAGAATCATGAATCTAGCCAAAGATTTTATTACTATTAAACACTACCCGAAATTTGGGTTGTTCTGGATGAATAGCTTTAGTCACGATAATATAAACATGCCTTCGTCAATGGATGAAAAAGTTGAAACTTTTCTAAAAGACATTTACAATCATTTGGACAACACTATCCTTGTTTTCTTCAGCGATCACGGATTTAGATTCGGTGAAATCCGAAACACTCATACGGGATGGCTGGAAGAAAGACTTCCCTTTATTTATCTCCATTTTCCTCCAACTTTCAAACAACAGTATTCAAAGGAATATCAAAATTTCCTCATTAATACCAGACGACTCACAACTCCTTTCGACCTCCACATGACACTCCAAGACGTTATACGCTTTGCCAACCAAAGTTACAAGGTGCATCCCAGTCAAGCTTGTCCCAAATGCCATTCTTTGTTCAAAGAAATTCAAGAGTCTCGCACGTGCGAAGATGCTGCTATTGATCAACACTGGTGTTTATGTAAGGGTCGCGCCTATATTAACCCCTTGACGCCAATCGTACAAAAAGCCGCGCAATATCTGGTTTGGAAAATAAATACTATCATAAAATCGTCAAGTACAGGTCATTTGTGTGCGCATTATTATTTGAAAAAAGTCACTTCGTCGGGAATGTCCGATGAATACCTAAATGAGAAAAACAAAAGTGTGAGTTTTCTCTTAATTATGCTTGAGACAAGGCCACCGGCGAAGTTTGAAGCGACGATTGAAATTAACCAAAAGGGTGACAAGCCGGATTTTCGTTTATTAGGTGATATTAGTCGTACAAATAGGTATGGTGACAATAGCAAATGTATCCAGAACTGGTTGCAGAAATATTGCTACTGTGATGGACTATTCACTTCAATTAAAAGTGCCATATGTCATTTTTTGAATTGTATTTAATTTTATATTTGTTAAACTTACAAGAGTTATATTTTCAACGGTTAATAAATTTTGTTTTATATTTTCAATAATTTCGATTTTTGTTCTTATCTATAGTTCGTATCTAAGCCAACAACTGCGCATATACAATTATTACATGATGACTAAACTGATAAGAGTAATCTCTTATCGATTACAAATTCCTTACGATGACACTTTTTATCAGCTGTAAGGTTAACTTTCAATAATAGTCTTTACAACGAACTAAAAAAAAACAATAATCTAACAGTTAAGTGCATAAATGTGTTTTTTTTTAAATTATTTAAATGGAACAACACTTTCTTTCAAGATATAAATATTTACTTATATGTCTCATTCCAAATATTATGATACTTTTCGGCTACTATGAAAATTATATCAAGGATCAAAAGGGGATTATACTTTTTAAGAAAGTAGAAAGGGCCGACACAGCTTACACAGGTAAAATTTTAATACTACTCAAAAAATTAAAATAAACTCACATTGTTTATAGATTTATCAAAATATTTAGTAGACACAAAAAACTGTAAAATCCCAGATATTGATCCTTTAAACAGCGATGTTTGGCCATATTACAAAAAACAAGATTATGTCAGTTGCAGAACTAAAGATTTATTAACGTATATTGATAGAAACGAGGACAAAATCTTCCTGAAGATTGATTATACACTCCTAGACGTGTATAGTCTTTACCCAATCACTTGTTGCTATTCGAACGTGAGTCGAGGAAACGGAAATGACTTAGACGATAGCATAAGGTATACTTAGTAAATATCGAGCGATCAAGATAATTTGTAATCGAGTCATCTTTGCATTTGGGAACGTATGTCTAACTTCACGAGAAACGTCAAATAAGATGACAAGTCGTAAGGTAAAACGGCAAAATGGGCTGAAATTAGTCGCCGACGTATGATAATACGAGTAGGACCGTTCTTTTTTAAAGGTAAATTATAAATTTAGGTATTATAATCATCACCTTTTTGATTATGCCATTTTACCTTTCGACTTGTCATTTTACTTGACATTTTACAGACATACGTTTTCGGACCCAAGAATAACTCGATTATGAATTATCTTGATCGCTCGATACATTAAAATAGTACATACGTATGATATGTACATACAGAGTGAGGCATTCTTTATATTTTTTATCCTACACAAAAGAGCTAAGTCAAAACTCATTTCATTGCAGTACTATACATGTATACATACAGAGTGCGCCAGAACTCGCGACCCAGAGAAAAATTTCAAGTAAGATAAGATATTAGGAACATGGAAAAAAATTTTAAAAAATTCTGTCTGCCAAAAAATTTTGACATTTGACAATTTTTTTGTCTATTTGATGATACTGATGATCCTGTATATGTTTTTTTACAATTATTTAATAAAGGTATAAAAATTTTGCAAATAAAAGCCACAAATAACATTGAACAGAGTTACAATTTAGGATACAGCTTACTTGTTTCCTCTTCTGTAGCCTGTAGCAAAAAAAGTTGGAAAATTATTTCTCCAACAGAAATAAATAGAGTCAAAGTGCAAACTTTAAACTCCCATAACTTCGAAAGTTTTATAAATAAATTTTTTTAACATTTTTTCCATGTTCCTGGTATCTTACATTATATGGCATTTTTCTCTGGGGCGCGAGTTTTGGCGCATCCTGTATAGTAGTAGTACAACTAATTCGAAAAATGTTTATCGGTATTTGCGTGAATTGTAAAGAAAAAAGTGTTAATTTATCTTCCATTTTGTTAAGTGAAAACCACGAAATGCACTTTATCTATAGATACATAAACAAAGACTGGTGAATTGAGATTTGCTATTGCAGAATTCTTTTCTTTCTTGTTAAACACAAAGCCGCTACCTAGTGTCAAAATTCGCCTGCAGATCAATCAATTCTTTCTTACCAGTGAAAATAGTTTTTCAGATTGCGAGGAATTCCAAGACCGTGTGCAAGTATATTCCGATTTGGTAAAAGTCACCTGCAAGACGGAATACACCGAGATTTATTCAAACGTCCACAGCATCTTCCGAAAAAACTTTGAGACCCAAATGAAACGGGATTCTTTCAACGATTTTAGTGTTTTGCTAATTGGTATAGACACAATGTCGCAATTGAATTTAATACGAACTATGCCAAAAACGCAACGTCTTCTGGAGAAAAACAACTGGGTTAATTTGAAAGGATATAATAAAATCGATGATAACACGTTCCCCAATTTGATGGCGATTTTAAGCGGAATGAATTTGTCTCAAGTCATTAAGATTTGTAATCCTGAGAAAAAATTTATTGATGACTGTGATATAATATGGAAGCGATTTAGACAATTCGATTATGTTACTGCCTACGCAGAAGATGAGACAAAATTGAATACTTTCAATTACTTGATGAAAGGGTTTAATAATACTCCTACGAGTTTCTATTTTCGGCCTTATTTTCTTGCAGCTGAAACACTGACAGTTGTTACACAATACCTATCTTCGTATTGTACCGGTCCTGAAACTTCAGGTGAACGTATTTTAAGTCTTATCAAAGATTTCTGTACTGTTTTCGTTGACAAATTAAAATTCGGTTTGTTTTGGATGAACACTTTCAGTCACAATAATATTAACACAGCCTCAGGGATGGACGATGTTTTTGAAAAATTTTTGACCGATTTTATGGCCAGTCCCGCCGCGGAAACTACCATTATGGTGTTTTTCAGCGATCATGGTTTCAGGTTCGGCAAAATTAGATACACTTACAGTGGTTGGTTGGAAGAACGACTTCCTTTTAATTATATTTGGGTCCCCAAATCGTTTCAAAGCAAATATCCTGAAGCTTATAATAATCTTAAGATTAATGCGAACAGATTGACCACCCCCTATGATCTTTATATGACACTTCAGGATATTTTGTATCGCTCAAATAATAATTATGTGATACAGCCAAGTCTTGCATGTCCCAATTGCCGATCTTTGTTTCAAAGAGTTAATGAGGAACGGTCGTGTGATGATGCTTCTATTTCGCAACACTTGTGTACTTGTATGGGACATTCCCCCATTGATCCAAATTCGAAAATTGTGAAGAAAGCGACTTATTTTGCTTTAGATAAATTGAAAAGTACGATAAATTCGTTTCACGACGGGCCAAGTATGTGTTCTACTTACGACTTGAAACATGTTATTTCGTCAGGAATAACCGATACTTTTTACAACAAGAAACACGAATCTTTCAATTATTTACTTATAGTTTTTGAGACTTTCCCAAAAGCTGTGTTTGAAGCGACTGTTAGTGTTTCTTATCAAAATTTCATTCCGTTATTTACTTTGCAAGGGATTATTAGTCGAGTCGATAGGTACGGGAATACAAGTGCTTGTGTCAAAAATCCAGTTTTGAGGAAGTACTGTCACTGTAATAGTTTTTATACGTTTATGAAAAAGACTGTAGATATATTGTTTAATAATTAAAACGATTTTTTGTGTTTTATTTTTTACACTCTGAAACAGGTATACAGTCTCCATTTTTGTCCCTAGCGTAACCTTCATTGCAGTAACAGGCGTCGTTACATTTGATGTTAACAATAGGACAGATTTGACCTAAGGTTACACATTCTGTCTGACAAGCGCTACCACAGGCGTAATGTTCATTGGGGCGATTACATCCAATAATACTTGAAATATCACCTAAATAAATTATCATAGATTTGCTATAATTATTTATAATTGTTTAACTAACCTGATACTAAATTGTTTGCAAACACTAAGAACATCACTGATATCAATAATGTGAATGAAGTAAAATACAACTTCATTTTGGATACTTAACACGTTGAGAAAAGAAGTCGCAAAGTCACTGAGTGAATGAGTGAGTGTTATTAGGACTGTTACATAAAATACACTCAATGACTAAACTGTTAAAGAACGCGGCGATACTGATTTTTAATTATTATTAACAGTGGCGGCGGAATTACGGCCTTGGAAAAGGACTACGATGGCGGAGTCAATGCCAAGATTCAGTGCGTTACTCGGTGTAGTGGGGAAACTAATACTAAAGGTGCTTTGCCAAATAAAAGATTTGACAGCACAGTGTCATCTAAACCACATACAAAAATGTGACTGATTGTCTTCTGAGCCCTTCATATACAGGGTTATTTACGAGTAATAATGGGCCTTACAAAAAATTAAACGCAACCAGTTATACATTATCATTAGCTTCGTGGATAATTCATATTTATTAAAAAAAATTAAAGCATAGTTGGTTCTGTTTTTTTTTTCAATTTGTCATGAACTTGACCTATAAATCAATGTAATTTTTATTTCAACAAAAATACAATAACAAGACTTAAAAAAATCAACGTATGTAATAAGTTGGACAAAAACACAATTTAACCCGTCACACCAAACTTTTATTTCAAACACTTATAAGTGTTCAAAATGTTTCTTATAATAATTGTAATTTGTGTCATAAATGATCGTCTCACTCTACTCAAGACTTCAGGTGTTAGGCGTGAACAATTTCTATTCTGCAAGTCTTCAATACTTTCAACTGGTGTTTGGTACACTTTAACTGATCGGGTCTCCGAGGAGACCAAAGATTAATGGAACCTCTTCCCATTCAATTTATTTTCAAAGATTTCATCCAAATATGGTCTAACAATCCTGTGATAATGCGGTGGAGCACCGTCTTGTTGAAACCAAAATTTCTTCTGACATTTAATTCTACTTTTTCAGTCGGTATTCTTCTACCAGGTTACCGCCGCGCATATAATTGAACTGCTGCATATGCGTTTTTTTTGCATTCACCGTAAATTGACAAAAGATCAACTTTTTCGTCATTTGAATACATTTTAAATGTGATAGATGTCACGAAACGTCAACTGAAAATTGTCTTCTCGGATTTATTAAAAAATAAAAAGATGAATTGGTAGTATCTATATACTCGTTACCCCTGTATATTCTTTTAATTTTATCATAGAAAGGTCGATAATGAACTATCTACTACAGTCAAATTCAAAAACAGTGGTCATCAACTCGTCAATGTCACATTTGATATCAATAATTATCCCTGTGTAAATGAGCGTAGTTGCTTAAAGTTTCTTAATTAAACTTAAATTTGCAAAAATACATTACATATTTGGCATCATGAAATTTGTAATTTGTCAAAGCAATTTGATTATGAAAGTATAAATTATTTATTATTTATTTATTATGTATTAAGTTTTGAAAAAACATTGACGACCACTTTTTTTGAATTTGACTGTAGCTGGGACACTCTGTTGAGTGGTGAAATTAGTTTTTGTTATAAATACTCTCATTAGGTATTATGTTAGAATGCACAAGTAAGTATCACAATCACACGTAGGTATTTTTTATACTATTTTTTCTATTGAGCGCTTTTTAAATTGAATTTATTATTATAATTATATTTGACAGTTAAAATTTATGATAATTGTATTGGTTTCGATGAAATACATTGATCTATAACAATTTCTCACTTAACTAACTGAAATAGTTCTTCATAAATAATCGGAAAGTGTACTCTCTTAAATAAAGCAAAAATAGCAAAAATATTCCACAGTTGGTTATAATAACAATCTTAAAAAGAAACCAACAGATGGCCCACCCTATACAAACGTTCAAAGCACATGCGTCGACTAATTCACATCAATAAAATAACAGAATTAGTTTTTGCAATAAATTTGTATCTTATTTGTGTATAAGTTTAACAAACCCATGTACTTTTCCCAGAAAGTTTTAATATCAACATTACTTTTAGGGTGAGATATTTTTGTTACTCCTACTTACTTAACCTTACTGAACTTTTATTTATTAAAATATTTCTCTTTTGAAAACTCCCTGACTTTTCTAAAGTCAGTTGTCACAACATTCGCTTTTTTCAGAATCAGCAGAAGATTTTCAGTTGGGAAAGAAATGTCAGGTGAAATAGATTCTTACGTCCCAGGGACTCATTCAGTGGCTTATGTCACAACTCCCAGTGAAGAAGTTGCAAAAAAATTAGCACATGGTCTGATCAAACAGAAACTGGCAGCTTGTGTGAACATAATCCCCAAAATTACTTCAATTTATGAATGGGAGGATAAGATTAATGAAGATGCTGAAGTTTTGATGATGATTAAGACCAGAACTTCCAAAATTAGTGCTTTGACTCAATATGTCAAGTCTAATCATCCATATACAGTTTGTGAGGTCATTTCTCTGCCTATTGAGAATGGAAATGAGGCTTATTTGAAATGGATTGGTGATATTGTCCCCAAAAAATAAGAGTGCCATAAATATGTACAACAGTTTCAAGTCTGATTTTTGTTATTAATGTATGAAATAAATAGTTCTCTTTCAGTATATATTCTTTATTTTTGTTCTTACATTAAATTCTATGTACAATCTAACAATATGTAGCCAGCCACTACATCCATCCTTTCAAACTACCAATCTTTCATTCTAATGTGACAAAATTACCAAAAGAAAACAAAGTTGTTACAGTGTTTGTTTGGTCCAGGTTTTTTTTTCAGAACAAAAATTTGATTATGATTTTTACATACTCGGCTTTCATTCCCTTTTACCTACTTAGTTTATAGTCACTATATCCCAGACTTTTCTTTCTTTCGTAGAAGACGATTGTAAGAGAAAACTGAACTTACGTTTATGCTCAAGAAACCACGATGGGTATTGTTGATTGCATAACCTTGAAGTGAGCAGGAACAAAATTAGCGAAAAAATTATCTCGTCGAATTTACTGTAATTTAAAAATTTGATAAAATAATTATTTTTTTTTATATAAATTAAGTTATTATTATTTAAAGGTACGTCAGTAGGAACTATGATAAAAATAATTAAAAATGCAGTGACGCAACGATATTAAATTCCACTGGTTGTACTGTACTGGTATGAGCTTATTAAAATATTTGAATTGAATTAGTTTTTGTTTATGCAATATGGCGTAAATTTAGTAAAGTAAAATATTTTTACCAACCCTGTACTCGTTTGATTCTGAGCAAGAATTACGTAGGTACTACACAAAATTTGATTGTATATTGTTTGAGCCATATAACATAGACAAAAATGGTTTACAATGAAACATATATAGGTACACTTTATTAAATATATTTATCATAGATATATTTATGGATTTTTGTATTTGCCGAGCCCCAGGGGAACATGGTTGGTAATTTTCTGCACCGGAATATTTCGTTCCGTTTGTCCTTTGTAAGCTCTAACTGCAGCCTTATCGTCCGGACTAATTTCAAGGATTTGTCTCAGGAAGTGCTGTCCATCTGCATTAGTAGAAGTCGCCCCCAAACTTTCTCTAGTCGCTGAGAGAAGTTCCGGATGTTCCGTGAGTGTGTCTGACAAAGAAGCAATCAGCACGTCTGTAAACAAAATCCAAAAGACTTGATAAATTTAGATTGCAAGCTTAAACCGAAGATTGGGTTTCCGATTTAATTAATTGGAGAAACATGATAGAAATTGAGGTTTAATGCAGACATCATTTCAAGTTTTAGAGCTAATTGGGGAGTATTGACAAAAAGTGGGCCTGTAACAGGTGTTTTACCGATTAAGTTTTGATGTTCGTAATTAAAACAGACGCGGGCCTCATCAATAACCAATCAATACGTAACGCGTTGTATTTATTTTAGGAGTCGCTTACCTAAAACTTTCTTTTCGAGGGTCCTCGAAATGTGTCCTTGCTCGGCCTCAATTTCAAGAAAGTTGGTGAATTTCTGAAGTGCCTGTTGAGCTTCGGCACTTCCTCGTGTGAGAGACTGTGTAAACATGACTTTAGCAAGCTGATAGATGACCTCTTCTAATGAATACTCGGTGTATAAGAAGTCGGCGACTCGGAGACGTTCGAGGAGCTCGTCGTAGTCTTCATCTTGACTCTTCTCACCTTCTGACAAAACGCAATTTATTTGACTAAAATTACATTCCTGGTGTCTTTGTGATGCCCTACATTGAGTGCACGATCAATCACATGAATTGACATAGAAATATTTCGAGCCTGAGGGCGTGACAGTGAGAAGGGTGCAACCGTAGCCGAATTATGGAAATGTTAATGAGAAAATTAAAAGCAACTGTGTTTTCGGTGTTGTTTAATAGGGACCGACAAAATTACGACCGCTGAAATTTCCACTGAATTATGTTTAACATGAGGTTCAATATTGTAATTTCCCAAGAGTTCGCTCAAGACACGATTGATATTATTATTACATGATATTATTGTCGCGGGAGTGGTAATTCCTCACTTACATTTGCCAATTTACATATCTACATATCATACGCTCATATTAAATTCGCTTCTTTGCTGAATAGAGATTTTTTATGTTATTTGAAGAACGAGCGTAATTCAATTCAAAGCTTTTCGGACATTGCAAAATGGAGAGAAAACCCCAGAGAAAAAATGTCACTAGCCAAATTCATCTCTCTGTTAGTGATTTAAAATTTAAAAGAAGAAAATTCACTTAATTTTGAAGGTGTAGTTGAAATATTTAAAGTACACAAAACAGTAAATCTATGAGTACTATTCTGTGCAGTGACTAATTACACTTTAACTAATTAAAATTTGTGCCTTTATTTTCTGTGAATAGTGGCACACCTCAGCTATTATCATATATTTTCATTTCCATTAAAATTAAATTAATGGGCACAACTGTAATAAACGGAAAGTAAACCATAAAGTTACGATATTTATTTGATACAGCAATTATTCAGAAAACGTTCTCATAAAATATGCTTCAAATCATCATACATCAGGAGGTTTATATTAAACCAGTTTGTTTTTTTTTTTCCAAAATGTGTCTAAAGTTATAATCATGTTTACTTTTTTATATTTATACATTTGCATTTTTACATAAAGACGTTATTCTATTTTCAGATTTTTCTTATATTTAAAGTGATGTTTTACAGCAAAAAATTGAAACTAGCCAAATTTTTACGTAAGCGTTCTTTGTTATTCATTCTCGGTAACATTTTTGCTTTTTACAAAGATTGCACACACAACGCTACCCAAATTTTTACGTAAGCGTTCTTTGTTATTCATTCTCGGTAACATTTTTGCTTTTTACAAAGATTGCACACACAACGCTATTTACATTTATAAATCTCAAGACTCTAGAGAGACACCGAACTTACTCACCGTTTGATTTCATCATGGGAATCGAGTGTGGTACTTCCGGTTCTCTCTTTTTCGTAGCTTCCTGTCTCAGTTGGTTCAAGTCAAACGAGCTTTTTAATTCCGGTTTGTCGTTTTGAGCATAACCGGAATATTTTAATTGCGTGTCCTGAGTCTGGAAAAATCACAATAGAGTAGAGTTTAAGAAGAATTTTAATAAAATTAAAATTGAAGTTTTGTAATAAGGGAGGATATTCAGCGCAAAGTTGTTAAAAAGTTGGAAGCCGCATTTAATTAGCTAGGCATTTCTTTGTTCTAAGATTTTAAAAGAATAAAAGTTGATTTACTCCAACTTTCTACAAGTGTCAGCCATTACAAGTGGGGTGGAATAATTGGTCACTTCTATTAATAGAGCGCTTACTCTAGAGCGTTCCTTGGCATTTAAGCCAAGTTGGGTGTAATGGTTCTTGAGATAGTCCAAGTTATATTTGATTTCTTGCAGGAAGGAAATTGCTTCTTCTCGAGTCATCTGAAACACCTCAAGTTGGTTGAAGTGCTTGTTTAATAATTTTTCTCTTACCAGACCCTCTTGTAAGAATTCTTCGATGGCGAGAGTTACTCCTTTTTCATCACCTGTCCAAAACACATACTCGGCCATATCTAGAGGAGAATACTGTATTCCTGAAAAGGCGTTAAACTTGTCTATCTGTAAAATGCGTGGAATTTTAAAATTCAAGTCACTAATGCTCCTAAAGGCTTTCTTACGCCATTTCCAGTCTCTGAAAGGCCCTCAGACCGTCTGTTTCCATTTTCTGTCAACGTTTGATATTCTGGTAGTTGTTGGACGACACTTTTGTGAATTCCTTTCGCCGGCACATCAATCTCAGTTTGTATTTTACCTTGAGGTCTTGCCGACTCCTTTCCTTCAATATCGATATGTTGATCAATTTTCGATACCAACTTCCCATTTTCATTTACTACAATTTCATCAAAACCCTGTTTTAGGTAAATGAATCATGCGCGAATTTTTATTTGATTTTAGCATGATTGATATTCTCGGGAAGATTAATGGCCGGGAAATAATTATACATTAGGTGTTCAATAATAATTCAGTTTCCTTGCAATTTAGGTCGAAAAAAATTAAACCCATCATGCAAATCGTACCTTACATTCTAACGCCCGACAAACAAATTGAATTTTATTCAGCGCTTATGTCTAGATAACTTAATTATAAAAGACGTGCCAACTTTGAATTCATTTACGGTTTATAAATGCACTTGAAAACTGGCTTTAACGATTTTTTGAAGAAAAAATTTGGTGAGTTGTGCCAGATTATTTTGATTTAATTGGAGGAAAAATATTTTGAGTGGTAGTCAACGGAAAGGCTTCTGGTGAAACTGAAACCTTATAAAAGTCTTTTAAAGGCACCTAATAATCAATTTTATTCGTTCGCTTCCATTTCGGAGGGAATTACAGACGAGGGTACGACGAGTAATGCTCATTCGAGTGTTTCATGAACTCCGAGGAAAGGAACTGATTGTGCTACAGGGCTTCAAAAACAGCAAAATTTTTGTCTAAATATTTTCAAATTTACTTGTATTATTGTAACAAGTTCTGTATAGCAGTGCTTATATAGGCAATTGGTTCCTGTTTACGATATTTATTATTCATATTTACATTGGTTAATAATTTTTATACATCTTGTAGTTAAAATTAAATTATTGCTATAAACTACAAAGAATATATTCAATATATTAATTGCTGGTAATACCGTTGTTTGAAAACTTATTACATTATGTACTAGTTTTGATCAATTGAGTTTTATATTATCACTATTTATCTTTATTTACAACATTTTATACATTTTAACTAACGGTTTTAATTACTTTTTGAACTGTAAAGATTAGTTTCTAGTAAATCTGTAAATTAATTAAGTGTCTACATTACTATTAATGAACATTAATTTGATTATTATTTTATGGTAGTGAATAAAAAATATTCTACGCAATTGATTATGCAATATTTTAATTTTATTTAATAAATTGGTGGATGCGCCGGGATATTTTTCTACCCCCCTTATCTATTCTAAAGTTAGTGCATTGCAAACAAATACATAACCAAACCAAATCAGCAATTCTCTGCTATAAAATCCCGTTTTCAACATAAACACGGATAAAGTCTAATTTACAACTCTATTTTCGAGAGAAACATGCATCGGGCAATTTATTCAGCGCTGTAGATGACATTTATTTTGCGCTTATCTAAGTGACATGTAAGGCTGGATAACTAACAACAGGCAAGAGGCTTTGTGGAGCAAGATCTATTTGTATAACACGACATTGTTTATTTTGTGATTCAAAGTTTCAATGATACTTCTTCATGTCGGAGTGGTTTCGGTTTAATTAATTATGGAGTATAATAATTGGATTAGCTTTATGTGTAAGAAATAGAAATTAGTGTAGCTAACAGAAAACTAATCTTTGTGAACCAAATTTAGGTTTAATATCTATTTAAATTGAAATGATGTATGTGCAGGCAATTTTATTGGAAGGAGAACTGAGCTAATGATAGCAAAGTGGAGACTTTTCTTCGATTCGAGTCAAACTAATTTGTGATTTCTACATATGTAGAAACTACTTCAAAGTCAGCGCTAGTTTGAAATAATGTTAGAGCAAACTTTACCTTGCTCTTTTCTCTCAGCATGCGCTTGTTTTTGTCCATTATTATTCGTGTATACCGAAGACTGGGTTTTTATCATTTCCAAAGTTTTGCCTGAAATAAATAATCAAGCAGGGTTTTAAGTGGCAAAAACTTTACCTATTGAATGTTTAAGACTTTCAAGTTCTCTGACGCTTGAATCCTGAAATATGCAAAATTAAAAAAGGGTAAAACGCCGTCTAATCTTCTGCTAAATTTATCACAGATTGAAATTACTTTAATTATCATTTTATCCCCAAGCCCTTTAATATTTTAAAACAAATTACCTGTGTTGAAGTGGAATCTCCTGGCGTTCCTGCAACAAAAATACCGCTTTTTATAACAATTTTATAACTTTGTGAGAAGGTTTAACAGTCGATATCGCACACCTGTATATGAATTTACGATATTGGTCCGATACAAGGGCGGCATGACTTATGTACCAAACTTCGAAGTGGTTTCCAACTTTGGAAAAAACTTTTTCAATATGCGACATATTGCAGATTATCTTGAAACGGATTCGCATATGTAAAATTTATTTAATGATCTTCTATTTAGTAAATACCCGAGATGGGGTTCGAGATAATTGAATTCTCAGAACGAAACGTAATAGAATATTTGATAAGTTGGAAGGTCAATTGGAATTATTATTATTTGGGGTTATTAGGCTTAAGGCAAATGTATGCGCCTGTGGCAACTATAACGTATTATTATTGAATTAGGCTGGAATTAGCCAATCTAGAATTTATAACAGATGGGAAATTAAACGGCAACGTTTCACCTAAAAGCCGAGATTAGCTTATCAATAGCTTTAAATTGTGTATTGAAAGACTAATTAAACTTGTAATGTTTAAGACGTGCACGAGGATTTTAATTATTTAAAGTTTCATAAAGTTGGATTTCTTTGGCGATGGGAAAAGAGAAACTCAGATTTGAACAGAGCTTACTGTTCCTGGAATTGTGAATCATACAGCAATTTATTTGCACAGTTGGATTTTATATTGTTCGACCAAAATTTAACATTTTCTCTCACAAAGAGCAAACCAAAAATGTTATAATCTGTAAATTCAATGAATAGATTATTTTAGTAATATTTAAATATCATTCATTTTATTTTAATTCAAAAGTATGTTGTATTTTATAAATATGTTCTAGATGTTTGCTGTTGTTTTCTGGGTAAGCTTTTGTTTGATGACCAGAATTCCTGTTTCTAATCAGAATGCGCTCAGTCATGCCTATTTGGTACAATTTTTCCTGCTCCCTTTGTGCTTGTAGAAATCTGCCTTAAGCTCTAATTACTTCCTGCGGTTGATAACATACGACTACGTACATGAACTTTAGCAGGAATGTGTACACTTTATCGATTTGACAGTCTAAGGTAGTGAAGCAAGATTCCAACGTTAAGACTAAGTTTATTGCTTGAAAGCGCTTGTGTCTTATCCCCCAAGATCACAGGCTGCATATTATCAAACGAGAAAATTCAGTAATAGCGTAACTTTCCAAAGGTCGATATTTTGCGACATTTATTGCGGTTTTGGTCAACCGTTCGTTGCGTGATATTATTTATCTCTAGTTTTCGGTTAACACGAAATGTTATTTTACTGCAGTAAGTATAAAAAAGAAACAAAACGTTACTCGGAAGGAATATTTTAGCATGTGAAAGATTTATAAGTAAGCGGTTGGGATACAAAATACTGAAAAAAATTGATGATATTCATAGGAATGAGGGTTGCCAGGCCAATTGATTTATTTTTATAGGATTTTCAAGGTAGAGTTTTGCTCGATTTGGCTAAGCGAGGAAACGTGGTTTATTAGAAAGTGTGCTAGTTCAGAATTTAAAATAGCACAAGTTATTTTATAATTAAAAACTCTTTACATTGCGTGTTATCTCTCTCGACTAGTGTTTTGATAGGTGTCTGTTGTTTCGTTCGAAACTTGCTGAAACGTTTATTTTCACCTAAAATCAACTCGAGATTTAAAGTTTTAGTGGTCTTGTTAACAAACTTTCATCTCCGGTTTAATAAATAACTTTCTACTCTCATTTCTGATAACAACACATGTCACCATTTTATTAAAAATTTACAAGCATATTGGGTGTGTCGGTGCGTAACATCGTTCCCTAAAGAACTATGCTGTTTGAATTCGTAATGACTTTCAAAGCGAGAAACGATGCTTCCTATCAGCACTTGATTTAGTAATATTAAGTTTCGTTATTTTGGAATTTACAAAAGGTAGTCGATTTGTTATGATTATTCTAACTGGCATAAATGTTGGTTATAGGTTTAAAAATGGTGGATGCGCCGGGTGAGTACCAAGAATTTTATACGAGAGAAAACTTTAATAAAGTTAGTGGTCGTAAAACAAGCTTTTATTTTGTTTTTGGTTGAATGCTGTGTTATTAGTTTTTCAGTTGTCAGTTTTCACCAAAACTTTACAAGCTTACTTTTCTTTGAAATTTTAGTAGAGCAAAGTTAGTCCTTTGATTGTTAAAACAAAATAATTGATAATTAGTCGGTGCAGGTTTATTGTTAGGTCAACTGGCACATCCAATTTCATTGAAATGTGACGCAAATTACAAAGCTCTTGAAACCTAATACAAGCGTTTAAAAAGGCGCTTAATACTCTTTCAACTGAAGCAAAAAAAGAAAAGTTTGAAATAGATTTATAATGCAGACAAGAAATAAAATCTCGGATTTTATTACTGGATTACATTTTTGCAAAGTAGATGCAAATGTGCCAACTGCACTGTTATTAGTGCAGCTTGCATACTAATAGAGGCGGAGATATTTGATGAATACAAATGCAATACAGGTGCATCGGACTGGTATTGGTTTGTATAAAAATTTGAAGAAGCCTGAGATAATAAACCTGCTTTTAGTTAAAAACTAAAAATCGCTTGTGGCAAATTAAACAAAGCTCATACAAATTCCCACGACGTGTTAAGTCCGGAACTAAGCACCTTTACAAATCTTTGTCTTTCAGTTTTTGAGTATCGAGCGTGTAAAAATTTGCAATAATAATTTAGTATTTGTGCGAAAAACATGAATTATCACGACGTAAGAGTGTTGTTTCACACATAGTGGCTTTAGCGTGTAATTGACAGCAGAGGTTATTAACTTTGGACAAAATATATCCATTAAAAGTTAAAACTGCGTTGTAAATTCATGCACTTAATTTCACAGTTTGCGCCTCCAACACCGTTTCGCGGTTGCTTTCTAAAGAGTTTGAAATATAATTCCCGGAGGGGAAACGCAGCCATCTGAAGATGACATCTTAAAATTTGAGATTATTTATAACCAGAGACAAAGTTTTAATCCTTGAGCTGTAGTATTGATTAGAGGATATTTTATTAGAAGTTTCGAAGGGAGAAAATAAATTAAAAAAATTATAATGAGCTAGAAAAGTTTGACGGCTGTAATAAGGGTATCAAAGTAAATTTGCATTGGAAAATTGCAGGAAATTATACTGAAAGGTGTGAAAAGCTTCGACTGGAATATTTCAATCTGTTTACACTTTCAACACACTCTGCAACGTTACTTTGGGTCTGTTTTGTTTATCTAGTTTTGATTGTGTTGACTCGGAGGGAATTAAGACATTATTTTGCAACCGACGGCAAATACTCCAAGAACTTTTAGCTGATTCTGCCAGCGCTAAACATGGAGATTAGATCTGTTATGTTTATAGCCTAACTTTTGCGTAATTATATTCTTTAAATCTCCAACTTTACAACTTTTATAATAATGAACGTTAGCTTGCATTACACTTGCAAGAAAAATCAACAATCCGATCCAATTTCCTGAAATCTTTTAAACCAATTAAACGAATGTGCATAAGCTTTTAACGGTTTTCTTGGTACAAGGCCAACATTTTAGATCCTGCTGTGTAAAACTGAACCAACATTTATACAAACAACCTGTAGTCCTGCTTTCATTCCCAAAAATACATTTGCAGTGTTTTGCTGCAGTAATATTTTAGTCGATTGCATTGCGTGACGAAAGCCGGAGCTGCATTTGCCAAAGCGAGTTTTTACCTAAACTATTTTATTGACTGTTAAACTAAATTAATGGAAATGTTAATGGAGAGGCGTCTGTTAACGAAAGACGTTTCCTATTTGCTTTCCAACTACAAAGCTCAATTAATACGTGGGGTGTCAACGAACTTGCCGAAAAGTCATGCTCAAATTTTCATTAATTAATCGGAAATTTTGGGGTAATTGTGAGTGACAGTTTTATTTATTTATTTCAAGTCGATTGATCAAACGGAATGCGGTCTTTTGAACCCAAATAAGAATGTGAGGCTTCCAATCCGATCAACGTTTTCATTCAAGTTTAAACTTGGGGAATTTTCAAATCGATTTGGAAAGTTTGGGAAACGGCATTTGTCATCGGAGTAAATAATGTGGCCACGAATTGATGTTTGCTCCTAATTAAAGACATAAATAACAAATTGTGGCTGTGTTAGACTCCGATATGGATAATCTATGGGCGTCTCCCATGTATTTGCTTGACACACAAATCGATTAACAAAACACCCCAAAATTTTAATTTTCGAGCGAGAAACGTTAAATTGAGGTAAATGTTCAAAAGATTTCAATTACCTTCGTTCAAAGGAGCCGTGTCTACGAAACTTTGTCGGGATGCTACCGTTAAAAACAGAGCCAGAATTACAATCACAGCCATGTTGCAACCCTGAAACAGAAACAAAGATAAATCATTCACTTTTCTCTAATTCTAAAAAAATACTATTAAAAACTGTCTCTGCGGATTTGTTTTATGTGAGGAATTGCTTGCATTATACTTGTAAAAATGTGTATCGTAAAGCTCAGGATGCGAGGAAGTTTAACACTTAAATATTTATGGCGAGGAAAGCAGAGTTGATATTTAAGTTATACGAATGTTTTTTGTTGAATTTTAACTTGATTGTTCTTGCCTGAGAGCAGCTTCATTAAAACTTAAGCTTGTGCAAAACAGGGCAGGTGTTTACTACGGAATTCAAAATGATCTTGTCGGCGGCTTATAGATTTATGTCCAAGGAAAGTTTGACTCAATTAAACGGACATAATGGTTGTAGTAATAGTCCCTATAGAAATAGGCGAAACTTGGCCAAAGCAGTATTGTTACAGAATTATATAAATCAAAGTTTAAACCTTGTAATAACGTGAGCTTGTGCACACTTTTAAATTTAAATGAAAAACGCATGTCAGCTTAAAAATAACTCACGTTTGAGTAAAGCGTAAAATGAAATTAGTTTTTATACGTCGTAAAGTTTGGGCTTGAAAAGCTGCTTTACTTTGTTAAAAAATCACGTTGTGTCGCAACCGGAACAAAACCAACAAGACAGCCAATCATTGTCGACTCTTTTACAGATGTTTCTAGCACAATTATTGATTTATTGATAGTAAAGTTTGGAAGATCGCCGGATCCAGCACAAATATTTTTATTATTGGTAGATAGCCACGGCCTCAGATGGAAAAATATAAAAGTAAAGACCAAACAAATAAAACCTTTCGATTGGTCTGGGCTGGAGAAAAACGTAATATAATTCTAAATTTATTTAGCAATAATTGTAACGTACGTGGTTAAATTTTTATTTTAGTCAGTATATTTTCTTTTGTACGTGCAATTGGAAATAAATTGGGGTACAAGTGGGTTAAATCCGATTTATTAAATGGCTGGTTTTATTGAAATTTTGACTTGAACTAGCCTTAAATGTATGCAGCAGTGCGTTCTGTTTCAAAGTTTAATGTTTGGCAAAGCCGCGGGTTTAAATCTATTTCGGTGACTCGGCTCTATAAGTACAAAGCAAAGTTCGGTTTTACAAGATTTAGCAAAAGCTCTTCATATTATTCACAAAACACATATCGGTCACCAATTTATTGCGTTTTTAGTTACTAAATAATTAAAATTAATCTCATAATGATTGATCTTTCACCAAAAATGTAATTAGGTGTACACATAGTTATCGTCAAACTGTTAGAAAACAATTTAATTACTGCGATAAACAGATGTAATAGTGAACTGAAACTATAATAATTGAACAAAATTTTATTAATCTTAAAAATAGAACTATTATATAATTGGCAAATTTTATTTTGTTGATAACTAAATTTGTTCACAGTTACTATGGCGTTGGTGAAAACAACAATAAAGTATACATTGTAATAAGGTTCTGAATCAGTTAATTGGTAGCAAATGTACTATATTGAAAACATGGTTATTATTCCGAATGTTAATAATTTAATAGCAAACCGAAATTTTGTTTTATACATAGCATACGTATTGAAGGCACTTATGTTAATCTGATAAATATACAGTTAGTTATCTATTATAAGCAGTAAAGGAGTGGATAGATTGCCAAAGTAGTAATAATTTTGCTACTCTTGATTATAAAAGTTATAAAAGTTTAATTTTTTTCTCATATTGTTGTTAGTTTTTATCTTGTGATGAAAGTCAAAACAGATATTTCAGGCAAGTAAATGAATCAGTTCAGAGTTTCTAGCAAGGATAATTAGCGCCAGTTTCTATTCTTTGTTGTTTCAAGGCTTCGTTAACAATTCGATACTGCATAATCCTGCAGAATAATAAAATTTCAATGAAGTTGGATTAGGAGGGAGGACGTATTTTGAAGGTTTATGAAGGAAAAGCCTTATAAATATTCTTACAGTATTTGTTAAGTATTTTAAAAAAGTTGGCTCGTAACTCTTGTGAGACTACTGTTTGAGAGCTTTAGTTAAGTTGGCAGTGATTTAATAACCAATTTGAACCTATTTCGCCTTCCGTGCAATAAATGCCTCTTCTATTAGAGCAATTCTAAGGTTGGCGGAACTGCGGTCTACTTAAGGTACATTTGTATGCACGGCGCTCGTGCATGAAATATCCTATATATCGTAAAGGTTCCAGCGACGACTTTGGTGACTCCCTCTTGCACAATGGCTAAATGAACCAAGCATGAAAGCCAATTTTTGCCTTGTAATTGCGACAGTGATTTTAGTTAGCTGTTGTGTTGTTGAAAGCAAGCTCAATCGAAAATTGGATTGAGGTGTTGAATTCATTTACATTTCGTTCCTTCAACTTGTCGATTCCAGCAAGTGCTAATGAACTTGTCGGCGGAGATGATAGCCTGAGGTTCATTTAACTAACAAGGCGAACGAACGATTTTCGGACTCGAAATCGCAATGATAAATTTGACTTTTTTCCATTTGTAAGAACAAAGCAGTTTAAATGTGTAATTGAAATTCTGTTTCAAACTCTGGGACATGTTTTGTGATGATGGGTTTTGTGGGTAAATCCTGTGCAGAAATAGCTTCTCAGATTGAAAGGAAAGAGCTTTATCAATGCTAAAGTCATCTGCACTTGTGTCAGCAACAAGTGCATTTATTAACAACGCAATTATGAAAATGTAAGTTAAACTGGAAATGAAATTCAAGCGAAAATCAGCTGTAATTTTAATCCAGATTTTTTCAACCGAGCGGAAATTAAATCGCTATCTAGTTCGATACGAAATAAATGAATAAGCTGACCGTGCTTCTATCTTGATTTTTCGCGCAAACATCACTCACCGTCATCTTCATCAATCAATATCTCAATTTGTGCGATTTTCCAAATAGAATTTTAGTCTCACTTACAAATATCATCAGTGTCGTGAAAATAGTAAATCATAACAAGAGGTTAAACACGTGCAAAGATGTTTACTTTCAAGCACGTGGAAATTTACATACAGACTGGAAGGACAAGGCCACAGGATAAATTTAAACTTGGTACAAATCCATTCAATTTATTTTCTCCATATATAAGTATTTGAGTTGGAATTATAGCAAGGGCCCAACTGCAGGTGGTCAAAATCCATTTCTTGTGACACAGTTTCAAGTGATTTAATGAAAATCCTTCATAACGATTTCTTACTGTTCTCGGAATAATCCGGGCATTCAGCAAGCCTACCCCATTCATCAAGATCAACAAAAACAAGTTGACTATGAAAAAGCAGTAATAAATTTTCTAGTGTGATCGTCTTCGCGACGCAACCGTAACCAAAAGTCCGGGCTTTGCGTTGCTACTTTTGAAAAATCCGGGTGTTTGCAACAAAATCGATATACACAATCGGGGCTTGTCACGATTCTACATGTTACAAGCGATTTGTCTTTTATTTAGCAGCAATTAGTCGGAAAATAGGCCTGTGTTTTTATTTGAGCAACTTTTTGATCGAGCTCGAGAGGGTTGTATAAAATATTTGTGTGATAAATCACCGGCATTGGCAGATTTCACCAACCAACAACAAAAACTAAACATCAATAAGGAGCTTTGATGAGGTTCTTAAAACTTTAGTTGGTTCTAAAAGCATGATGGTTGCAATAAAACTCTCATATTTTATTTTACTCCTTTATTATGTGTCGAAGTAGGGAAATTTGATAGAGATTTTAATTATGATATACCTAGTCTAATCCGTTATAAAAATATAATTTGGATTACAAACTCTTGGATTTTCTCTAAAAAATAAAAAGCTAAAAAGTTTTGTGGTCGTTTCAATTTGCCACAAGGTTAAATAGTCGCGAAACAATTTCCTTGACGAATTTGTGCTTAATGTTGCTTAGAAGCAGAGTAAGACAAGAACAGGAAATTTCAGTGATAAATGATGCCACTTTAATCCTTTGACCCATGAAGAAAATCATTTATAAAACGTAAACGGTCACATCTAAGAAATAATGGACCACACCCTCTATATTTCCACCTCCCGAAAAACGAACAAATTGTGTTTACATTTATGCAACGGTCTCATCAATTTCACAATAATTGACTTTGCGCATGTTGGATTTCATTATTTATACCACATTTTATTAAAATAGAGCGAAACTTTTTCGCTGTGATAAATTTGCCCTTTTATTCCTTTTCTGGGCTTTAGGTTTGGGTTCGTTGCTTTATCAGAATTTTTTAACCTTCGTTTCTATGTGCTTCTGTTGATATAACATAGAGTATAATGACTGTCATCGGATCGAGGCTTTGTTAGCATATTTTTCCAGTAATCAAAGCGCTTAAGAAGCGTTTAATTAAACCGAGCTGCAAATAATGAACTCAAATACGTGCCCTCAAAATCTTGTTTCTTTTGCAAACATATATTATAAACGGCTGACACGTGCCCTACTTTATATTTAAACTCTGGAAATGTCACAAATATGACACGATTCATACAAATAGCGGGATATATTGTAGATAACTCCTCCCGGTATCGATCTGTTGCATTTTCGTCTCGAGGAAAATTTTTGAGATGTCACACGATATTAGATCCGAGGCTACATTGTAATCCCTGCTATAAGAGCTTTTAGTCATGATATTACCGCAATTAGGAGTAAATAAATTATTTATTATTTAGTTTTGGTAATCAGGTCGAAGTGATTTATGAATTGTACTACAAGAGCTGCAAAGCCATAAATCATGATTTCGAGGTCTGTGGAATAAATTTCCAGGGGACGGCATCAATCCAAACTTATTTGACTCAGACAAGAAGAAATAAAATTGAAAAATACATAAAATTATCGATTTTGTCCGCTAGTAAACACGACATGTTTTGCAAAAACAATAACATTCATAATTCTAAAATATGGCGTTTATTTATGCACAACAGCGTTGTGCATCTATTACTATTTGGTATTTAAATCTTGTATCAAAAGAAATGTGTTCTTGATAGCTAGTTTTTTTCGAAACTGAATTTACTCTGAAATAATTTTCATCCTGTAATAAAAACCATCGTTTATTTTATAACCGACCGCCGTCTAAATACGCCCTAAATGCAATAAAGGCTTTATCTCGCTATCTGTCTTGTCGCGAAACAATCTTTTGCCCTCTTTACCTGAGTTGTGACTTCCTAAAAGTCGATATTTAATTAAAGAAATGCGAGAAATGTGGCCCAAATTCTTTCAGGAATCGTTAATTGAAGTTTGCTCAAATTTTAATTTTTCACATTTGTGCTGAAACACCCCGCCGTAATTTTCGGGTTCTTATGAGAGTCGGGTAGCTTCGTTGATTAAAGGAGGTTGTATATGTATACAGAAGGTCGAACAAAGGGACTAATTTGTAAGCCTGGGTAAATTATCTCGATACTTCAAAGCGTTGCAATTTTAGTTATTTTAATGTTTTTAGAAAAACGGAGAAGAGTTCATTAAAAAGACGGGAGTTTGTAATAAGTCTCATTTAGTTTTAATGAGGTTTAGTCCGACTTTTCGCCGGGTTTTGTCCGATCTAATTGAAATTAATTACTTATTTATTGTAGGACGTTTTGTATTATTTGCTTTGCACTTGTCACTAGAATTTTAATGAGGGAGCGTCTAACTGAAGTTGAAATAAGTGAATTCGTTTTTTAGTTGTTTTTATAAAATTGTTGTTAGTTAGTCGATGATAAGAGACTTAGTACACGCTATGGCAATTAGAGGTTTTCTCGTTTTAAAAATGGACGGGTGTTTCATTCCTTTGTAAATTTTTAATGCTCTTTGAATCCGGAGTCCTTCAGAAATGTGTTGAATTTTATTGAATTTGCTCGAAATTGTGTTATTTGAAGTGCAACTAAAGAGGAGTGTGACAGACAATAACAGGATGAAAAGAGCTTTAAAAACATAATACAGCTAAACTTGTAAATGCTTACATTTTATAGGAATATTTAGGTTTTTCCATTCAAATATGCAATAGTGGAATTGAAGGCATTTGTTTCATAAGGACTCGTCGAGTGGATCAATGCGACGAGATACGTGCCAAGACAATAAATAAGAATCTATTTTTATTTCTATTATATTGACTGATTAGAAAAGTCTCGTCTCGATTCAATTCCGGAAGAGTTTTTCTACATTTTCTTTTATTTCCTTAACTTCTTAGGTCCGCTTTTCAGCACCTCTTCAGAGAGTTTTTCTCAACTTTGCCGACTTTTTCTAGCACAATTCCTTTCTAACAATATTTACTTACTTGAATACACTCGAAGCAATTAATCGCACTTTAGCCAATTCCGCAAAATAGTCAAATGACTGAACCGCTAAAGCTTCTCACGAGATTACGTTTCCAATCATGTACTCACAAAGTGTAATATTTAAAAAACACCTAAAAATAGCAAGTAATTTTCTAGGCGTTTTCCTCGATACATAAATCTTTTTCTCATATTCTTCGAGGAAAGAGCAAAATTATTTTGCAAATAAATTTTATTCTCCTAACATTGTTACATCGTCATCTGTCAATTTTGCAAAAAGGGAAGCGACATAAACAACAAGTGTTTATCAGAGATAAACAACAAAGCGTAAAAATAGATAAATCTTATCAAAATGGATCGAAGTCTGGCTCTATAATTCTATTCAAGTGTCACGATGAATTCAGACCTATGTCCTCGTTTTAATTTGGTATCGAGAGGTCTATATTAACTTGTCTCCTGTCAAATAAATGGAAAATTGTACAATGGGCAATGGGAAACTCAAGAGACAAATTTTATTTTTTTAGAGACAAACTAATCCTGCAGTGAGTTGTTAAAGCTGATATTACAGGAACAAACAAATCTATATTTTATCGACGATTTTTATTATTGTTATTGACAACAATGGAACAAGATAATTTATTCAATATTTGGAACAAATAAAATGTTTTTCAAATTTAAATTGAACCATAATGGATAATTTTGAATAAAATTACTGGGTGTGAAAAACTCAAAAACCCGTTAAAAACTCTATTAACCTAAAATATATTTTGATAATGCAAGAATATTTCACTAATATTTTTATGAAAATTTTAATAATGCAAAATAAACACGGGAATCTACTTTACGATTTAAACAAGCTCTTGCATTGGTGCAAAAACTCAGACAAACTCAAATAAATTTTTCTTTGATTTTTTCAGATTTTTCTAATAATTGTGGAAACATTTTTTGCTTACCTAAGTGTCACAGCTGTTGTAAAGCACGCGCCTAGAACGTACGAATCCTGCAGGATCACGGACAACTGCACAAGACTACACACGGATTCGAAGTGGAGCGTCGCGACGCTGCCGCCCCTGCGTCGACCGCTCTGGGTTTAACCCCATCTTGTGGCCGCCTATATTAGCTTATGCCCATACTATACATAAACGAGCTTTTTAAAATTCCAATTATAAATAAGGAATTGTGATAATTTTGCCAATTCAGTCGTGTGAAGTTAAAAAAAGTGGCATAATTTTTCGGCTTCAGTTAGAAGCAATTTCAATATAAATTTATGGATTCATTGTTAGGGGCGATTTTTGACGTTATTGTTGCAGGAATTTTATTGTAAATTGTTTGCAGGTTTAATAATTTATTTGGTAAATACCAATAAAGTTTAATATTTAAATTGCCTTCTGAATTTTTGATTTATTACGCATGTTATCGGTAAAAGTTGTGAAATATTAATTAAGGTTACACTGTTTAAAACTCTAACAATATATTATACATCCATTTAAATCAATAAAATAGATTTTCATCGGTTGCATGCAACCTTTATATTTTATTTCGTTGAATAACACACACGTTTAAAGATAATCTTTTATTTATTAAAAAAATACTGAATAAACTCGAAATAAATTAAATTATTGGGCAACCTGCGACACGATATTCGACCAAAACATGGTATACTCCTTCAACACCGTTCCCCTGAAACATATCAATTACATTTCCTGAAATATTAAATTTTCAGGTTTTACGTAAAGTAGACTTGGCCGGGCTGAACGTTATGAGGTGCTTGCCACACTAAAACTGCTTGTTGTTTTGGTTTAGGGTCAGCATGAGTGATGGCGCTACATTCTGGATGAATTTTTGTGTTTGGGGTTTCTACCCATTCGCCCAACCAACCGTTCGAAGCGACATCTCGAGCCTGAATGAAGAAACCTTTAAAGTAATCAGCACCCTGGATTGTCACTGGAATTTAAAAAATAAAGGTTTCATTATCGTTTCCTTAGATACATAAGGTGGAAAGTATTATAAATATATTAACTTCAAAATTTTCAATAAATCCACGTTTTTTTTATGAAACTTCGCTGACGATCATGAAAAATGTTGGATGATACACATGGGCTGTCTTAATTTTCAGGTCTTCGCTTCGTCTCTCAGACCTGAAAAATAATTTGACAGCGCACTTGTATCGAAAATAACTATTTTTTTGAGTTACAGAAATTATTTCTTTGTTTGAAAAGAGCTGTAATTAATTACAATCAAGGTTGTTTATTTACATTCTTGCTTAAGTAGAAACATCGATAAAGTGACTATTAAAGGAAATACCAAAGGGTGACGAGAGCAATTCTTGCATGCTTTGAATTACAAAAGAACTAAAAAGAAAAAAACAAATTACATAATTGATGGTAATTAAAAATAATTAAAATAGTCGTAAAGGAGGTCAAGTAAAACTGGTCAAAATAATTTTGAGTGTGAGGTTATGCCGGTAGGAGCGTTATCTATTACCGAAAACTGTGCATTCGTAGCCCTTTAAAAGCTACAAATTTTTTTACCTGTAATTTGGGTGCCAGGTCCGTATTGAGCACTACTCTGGATGACTTGAAAAGGGTTGGTCGAAGGTGGTTGTGGTCTGGCTTGGCCATGATAAGGTTGGTTGGGTCTAGGTTTCACGCAGGCATCAACCGGAGCACCGTCTGGGAAGCCGACCACAGTGAAAACTCCGGTCACTAGCACCAGTAAAAGTGACAAAGATTTCATCTCCAAGTGCCTTCTGGAAGAATTGCACTTTGCGAATGTCGATTCAATACTGGTAAAAACAACACTTAGGACCCAGGAAATGTAGGCTGGGCTAAATCTCTGAACCACTTTCACTTAGTCTTGCTTGCCTAGATTATAGTGATATAACGAGTGGTTTCATTCAACTTCTTTGTAATGACTAATGGATGTCTCACGTGAGGCATCGCGACATATGATCTCTTGAGTAATCGATTTGCTCAATGAATTGGTTAATTAGATTACAGGCAAAAGTTTTCTGAAACGAGGAATATAATTTCAGCTAGTCTCACCTTGGGAAAAAGTAAACTGAAAAAATTTAATAACAGCGGCCGACAAATAAAAAGTATAAATGAACTTCGCTTAATTAAAATTTTAATTGCTTTGCTTACATTACATTTGTTTGTTTTGAAAAAAATATTAAACAAAAGTGTGCTTCAAATAAAAAAAAATGTTTTGAATTTTATTTAATTTCTCTCTCTGTCTTTCTCTCCCTGAAGTGTTGATTTTGCTTGAAAATTGACATAAGTAACCGTTTTTCTGTGATAACATTTGATTTACCGCCTTCAATGTGGGGCGCTACTAGTAATGATTTCAAATTCCTGAATGAACGAGTTCACTGCGGCAGTGACACGGTGGCGCATATTGATCGAACACCTGCTGTACAACAAATGCATTAGAAAGTCTACCCTTCAATTAAAAAAATCATGTAAAATAAAAACTGAAAAATACATTTACTGGAAAACCATTACACCGCATTTTCACAGCTGTTTTCCAGCTACATGGTTTCCTAGGGAATAGAGGCAGAGAAAATTTCAACTCAATCTACACCGAAACTACAATTTTCCATCAGTAAAATATTTAACTGTATGCTGAGGTAGGATATTTCTCAGGAGTTTTTCCTTCCAAAATTTTTTTATCAAATTTTTCATGAATTCAACTTTCAATTAAGTTTTGAAAATCTATTTTGAAGGATATTGTTGTTTGTCTTATGGATGATGAATGGTTGACAGCGGTCCGAAATTCCTGCAGTAAAAAAACCTGCTATAAACTTTTCCGCTTTTTCTGCTTGGTCTTCAGTGAACCTCTGCAAATCCGAATTGTGCTCGCATCTGTGCCCTGCGCGTCCGCGCCCCTGCAGGAAGGCGGCGGCGGCAGCAGGAATCGGCGACTCGTCATCGGCGGCAGTGCGTTCCTGCATGATGAACGTAAGGGCCGCGTACGCGCCATGTGAAAGTGTTGAGTGACCATGAGGCAGGGCTGGCAGGAGACGCTCCTGCGGGGGCTACTCCTGCTTCTGCTACTCCTCGGATCCCGGAGCTCCGTCGCGTCGGATTCTGGTGAGTTCCGGCAACGGTTCCGGTTGGAAATTTGCCGGCAAACTTCCGTTTTATTTTAGTTACAAGTTATCTCTGTTGATTTATCAGATACTTGAAGTTTCAACTGTCAAGCACATTTACTTCCTTATCGAATGCCACTTTGCGAAGATTTTATCTCAATTTCGTTCTTCACCATATCTTACCATGCTCAGATCTCATTACCTTGCTTCTTTTTGAACAATATTTTTTGAAATCATTAATTGAAATCTCATGAGAATTAGCATTTTACAGTTAGAACTAACTTGCATAATTGATAAATCACTTGACTAACTTTAGATCGAGTCGCAACAGAAACAGAACCTAAGCTTAAATTGTGTACGAAAAAATTAAATTTTTAGTTTCTAGGGTGTTTGCAAGTGTCGTTCTATAATACCGTCAAGCTTTTCAAAACCCTCGACCAATTGTATTAATATTGTATCGAAAGGATGAATAGAATCGCAAAACAGAAAGACCCAACAATAAAAGCGAGACTTTAATGAAACCCTTTGCTAGTACGTAATATCTGAAACTGACGAATTATTCTTAGAATTTGTTCAACCGGTGTAGTATTTTAGATTACAACAACTTGAGCAAAGTTTCATAAATGCGAGTGTTCCGAAATTAGTTGGATAATTCCGGTTAAAAGTTATTTTATTCTCTAATAAATTGTATATTTTGTAGATTTCTCAAAAATTTTTGAAAAAACTCTGCAATCTGCAACAACTGTTGCGTGTCAATTAACGTGCACAAAAGCTTTGGATTGGAAAACTTTTCCTATTTAAAAGATTTCGTCGCAACGAGTTTGATTTTACGGAATAAGTTTTTAATAACTTTTAACATGTCGACCACTTTTTTAACATAGCAAAATCTCTTATTTAGTAAAAAATCGTAACTTTGTATGGATTAAAGTCATTTTGAGAGCTTGCCAGAGTTTCTGGCACTTTTTAATTTTGCGTGAAACTGCCATTGTCTCATTTTCTCCGCAACTGAAAGCAAAATCTGTTCATTTTGAACATAAATCAAGTCTGAAGACTGAAACGCCATTATTTCTCACAATGCTGCCATGAACATAATCAGACGCAAGCATAAAATGAGAATTCTTATTATGCGTTGTTTGACTAAATCTAAAACAATGCATCATTTCGACGTAAATTGAATATTTAGAAAAATCAACGAGACAGTTTTGTGTTTTGTCTGAATTTTTTATTTGTTTTGCTGTGAAATATTGGGCAAGCTTTCGAGGTTAATCGTGCATGACCCTTTTCTCGGATTTGCTATAAAAGTACCATTTCCGAAGCTTTCTATCGGCGAAAATAGCTTTTAGGGTAAAGAAATTGCTAGACAAGCCTTCCCAAACTTAATGAATGACTCGTTTTAATGAAATTTGTGTTAATCTGCTTGTACAGGATGTGCTGATCCGAAAATTGGAGCGTAGAGACAAGTTATTATATCGATTGTTTGAAAGTATGAACACATCTCAAGAGACCAGTTCCAATCAGGTCAACGGTCGAGAAAGTACCGAAATTACGTAAGAAAACATCATAATCTGGCAATGAGTTTATCTCGAGTTTCGGCTTGAAGTGGCTCGAATTTAATGAAAAATTAATTAATAAAACAAAAGATTCCTTATGGAGAATAAATCGTACCCTCCACGCATGAAATCGCTTTTAATTAAAACAACAAATTAATCTTATATTTTTGGGTAAAGTTCCCTAATGTACTGGAAAAATCGCTCCAGCTTTTAGTGCAAAATCCCGCAATTTACACCGCTAGAAATATAAATCGACAAGACGTGTCTCGCGTTCCAAGAGGTTTATATCTTATTTTTATGAAATATTTCGATTATATGTACACATAAAGATAGTATGAATCAGCGATCTGTCAGGTTGATAAATGAGAGGTGACGTGGAGCTTTATTTGCAAGAGACTCCATAAAGGGTAACTAATATGCGGTCGATGTTTGACATGACCGAACCTTGTCCAATTTAATGCACAATTTTATATGCCTTCAAATTCTCAAATGTTCCTTCATAACCGACTTCATTTTAAGTGAATCGTGATAATATTTCTGTTTATTTTTCATATTTCCCGGTGCATGTCACAAACGGAAAAAATGGCTGAATTATTTATTACGAACTATAAAGTACCTGTTTACTTTTTCTATTTCTATAATTGTGTTCCCGAAATCGATTAAATATAAAAAGAGACGACATTTCAAATTAACTGTCGATTTCCAAACTAATTAAACAATATTAGACTAATTAAGAATTTTAATTTAAAAACCAAGAGGGAGTAAATTTTATTTCCCCGATGTATGTACAACGTGTTTTCATGTCTGCAATTTTACCTAGGGTTTTATTTTTTGCATGCACATTCAGGTAATGTAGCGTGACACCTTTCGATCAAATTATCACCAGGAAAGACTTACAATCAATAATTGTACTCTTCTGTTTCAAAATAGACAACTTGTAATCCACTTTCTTTTTTAACAGATTGTATTTTAGGTTGTCTATTTTTTTTTCCTGCGATTTGAAAAACTGTTCCCTTTTCTTTTGTGTCACAATTCGTCTACGACATGTTTTTTAAACTTTACCTTCGTAAATAATAGCTGTATCATTATATGCTCGTTGAATAATATACAGACTGAGTCAAGCATAATAAAAACCCTAACCGATTTTCAAACGCAATCCAAAATACATTCTCAGATATCACTAAGTTAATTGATGAACTATTTAAAAAAATTTAAAGATATAAACACAACATTTTTATGGCATTCTTTATGTATCAATATCATGTCAGTTTCTTCGTCGTTTGAGTATATTTTAAATTCAAGTGAAAAAAGTGGAATTGATGACACTGTCAAATTTATATCAACAACTGCTTTGATTCAAATTTATTAAACTAAATTTTTATACACAACTGAAGCTAAGTTATCTATGACAATGTATTTTGAGGTGCGTCTGAAAATCGGCTATGGTTTTTATTATAAATGACTCGCCTTGTATTATTAAATGCATATTTAAAAAAAATAATTTACGTTAAAATAAAAAAATATAAGAAAAATAAAACACAAAAAATACGAATATGCTTTTAATGAATTAATAACATAAAAAAACAAAAATGCTACTTGAACCATATAATAGTTTTCTTGTAAATTTATCTAAAAAAATTATTTACGTTAAAATAAAAAAAAATAAAAATATAAGAAAAAGAAAACACAAAAAATATGAATATGCTTTTAATGAATTAATAACATAAAAAACAAATATGATACTTGAACCATATAATAGTTTTCTTGTAAATTTCAAATTAAAAAAATAAACAAATTATTGAAAACTTTTTTTTTTAATTTGATTTAAAAATTAGGCTTAAAAGAGTTATTCCATTGATTATTTTAACACCCTTGCTAGTCTCGCTGCAGCTTAAAAATACACATCTTTACAATGATTTTAAACTTTCAACAAATATATACAAGTGATGTAAGCCTGTATTAGAGTTTTCATCCACTTCAGCAGCTACTAAAAACATCTCGGAAAACTGTTCATAACTACGTAACATATTAAACTTCTCGTTCTGGGGATTTCATATTGCAAGAGAAACGGAAAGGGGTTCTTTGTGATTATTTGGACAAACATTTGCTTTTGTTATTTGATACTTAAAAATAAAGAGAAAATTTAAGTTAAGAAAATAACAAATTTTCTTGTTGCTGAAACATTGAGCACAGTCTACGAAGTTTAACCAAGTTTATGTAA